TGTGTGTGTGTGTGTGTGTGTGTGTGTGTGTGTGTGTGTGTGTTGTGTGTGTGTGTGTGTGTGTGTGTGTGTGTGTGTGTGTGTGTGTGTGTGTGTGTGTGTGTGTGTGTGTGTGTGTGTGTGTGTGTGTTGTGTGTGTGTGTGTGTGTGTGTGTGTGTGTGTGTGTGTGTGTGTGTGTGTGTGTGTGTGTGTGTGTGTGTGTGTGTGTGTGTGTGTGTGTGTGTGTGTGTGTGTGTGTGTACTCACCTAGTACTCACCTAGTTGTGTTTGCGGGGGTTGAGCTTTAGCTCTTTGGTCCCGCCTCTCAACTGTCAATCAACTGGTGTACAGGTTCCTGAGCCTGCTGGGCTCTATCATATCTACATTTAAAACTGTGTATGGAGTCAGCCTCCACCACATCACTGCCTAATGCATTCCACCTGTTAACTACTCTGACACTAAAAAAGTTCTTTCTAACGTCCCTGTGGCTCATGTGGGTACTCAGTTTCCCCCTGTGTCCCCTTATTCGCGTACCACCTGTGTTGAATAGTTTATCCTTGTCTACCCTGTAAGTACCCCTGAGGATTTTGTAGATAGTGATCATGTCTCCTCTTACTCTTCTGTCTTCCAGTGTCGTAAGGTGCATCTCTCGCACCCTTTCCTCGTAACTCATGCCTCTTAGCTCCGAGACTAGTCTATGTGTGTGTCAGTGTGTGACCAGAGGTCAGCTGTGTGTCCAAATTGTAGCCAAGTGTCCGACTGCCCGAATATGTCCAGGCCAATACTGGCCATTAAACTGTCAACACTCGCGTCGCATTGAATTACTCTCCGTTTGCACAACGCAAATTCTAGGCACTATTGAAGGGAAGTTGCCCATTTAAACGCCATTATGTACTAAAACAGTCCTGATGCAAGGTTTGATCTTACTTGCTAAAGTCCAGCGGTGGTATACAGCAGCCAGACTCGTATTATAAACAGGGATATACACCCAGAGGAGTCACCAGGTTTTTTCTGTGTATTTACACGGAGATTTTACGTATATCCTGGACTACGGCCAGGGCTGAAGGATATACTCGGTTGACCAGACCACACACTAGAAGGTGAAGGGACGACGACGTTTCGGTCCGTCCTGGACCATTCTCAAATCGATTGTGGACCATTTCAGGACAGACCGAAACGTCGTCGTTCCTTCACCTTCTAGTGTGTGGTCTGGTCAACACACACTAGAAGGTGAAGGGACGACGATGTTCGGTCCGTCCTGGACCGTTCTCAAGTCGATTGTGGACTATTTCAGGACGGACCGAAACGTCGTCGTCCCTTCACCTTCTAGTGTGTGGTCTGGTCAACACACACTAGAAGGTGAAGGGACGACGATGTTCGGTCCGTCCTGGACCGTTCTCAAGTCGATTGTGGACTATTTCAGGACGGACCGAAACGTCGTCGTCCCTTCACCTTCTAGTGTGTGGTCTGGTTAACATACTTCAGCCACGTTATTGTGACTCATCGTCCTGGATATACTCGGTGATTGGTCAGAAAGTTATTGTAGTGGTCTTAATAACCCAATTGAAGTTCATAGGCCTATATAGCCCATCATACAGGAACATGAAGAAGGCCTATTGGTCCATAGGAGGCAGTTCTATTTATATTCCAGCAACCTCATTCGCACATGTCTAACCTACGCTTGAAACACTCCAGTGACCCCCACGTGGATTATTCTACCCCAGTCATCTGTTCACCAAGTCAACCCTATTTCCCAAACATTATCTACCTAGGTATAAACAAATCCACAAGGGCCGTGACGAGGATTCGAACCTGCGTCTAACTAGGTATATTTCTGAATCTAAACTTATCCAATTTACATACATTTAAACTTACCCAAAATAAATATTTGAGGCCTCTGGAGAGACTTACAACAAGAGAGGCTTATACATTCCTTTCTGTTGTATTAATTAATAATACTATTAATTAATAAAAATATTGAAGTTTGATTTTAATAGACTTATTCGTGTATTGGGGCTTTCCTTCTCCTTCATTCAAGCACTACGGTATTGTATTTTTTCCACAAATGTTAAAATTTATAATACAAATTATAATAATAGTAGCAGACATAATTATTAACTCGACGATTATAATTATTAATGGTTAAATAATGATATAATTATATATACTCTAAAATTTTAATTTTTATATATTATAAAATTTTAATTTTTACATATTATAAAATTTTAATTTTTATATATTATACAATTTTAATTTATATTGACATTTTAATTCAGTATTTGATGTATTTTTTTAGTGTTATAATCTCACTACATCCATTTAATATTTTTTAACCGGTCACATTTCCATTTTTTTCCCTTTAATTCTGCATAAAATTCGTTCTTTGCTTCACCGATGTATGATCAAAAATGTATATTTTACAACAATAACGGCGTTATCATTCATAAATAATAAATGTTCTAATTAACAGTAACATTTTTTTGTTCGATAATTTATTTAGTTTTGTGTTAATGAACCAACTTGTCCTCTTAATAATGCGTCGCATTTTGACGTATACTCTTATTTAAGGCCAAAAAATTGGTCGTACTTGAAAATGATAGCGGCTCGTGGAATTGTCATACTCTCCCGTTTTCTGTTGAATTGTTGGTAAATAGGGAATTTGGGTAACTAGTTTCCCCTGTCTCCCCTTCCACCCCCCCCCCACCTTCCCAATCAACATAGCCCTAAATCCCATTTCAATCTCCCCTCCCATCTTCCCTCTTCACACCACCACTATCCACCCATCCCATCTCCTTCCTCTCCACTCGGTTTCCACCATCACTGTAACCTTTTTCCTGTACATAATTTCGATCACTGTAATTAAACAGTTGCCTTTAGAACGTAAATCTTTCATCATTTTTTTTTTATTAACACATGAGGTACATCTGCATTAGTGCAGCTACCCTGGACTATATGAAGTGGAGTACAGTGTGTCAAAAAAGCTAACTAGGTGATGCTAAAAAATCCCCATCACACAGGATGGTTAGTCATACAGAGGCATGTGATAAGCGGTCTGCACTGGCAGACTCCGGATGCATTTTGAGGATATCAACAACACAAGATTGAATAAGGTAGCCGTGGTAATACAAGTCCCCATCTCGCAGGATGGTTAGTCATACAGAGCCATGTGTTTAATAGCCTGCACTGGCAAATTTTGGATATACTGTGAGGATATCTTCAAAAATCCCTCCGTGTTCCCCTTCCCTGTGTGTTCCCCTTCCCTGTGTGTTCCCCTTCCCTGTGTGTTCCCCTTCTCTCCGTGTTCCCCTTCTCTCCGTGTTCCCCTTCCCTGTGTGTTCCCCTTCCCTGTGTGTTCCCCTTCCCTCCGTGTTCCCCTTCCCTGTGTGTTCCCCTTCCCTGTGTGTTCCCCTTCCCTGTGTGTTCCCCTTCTCTCCGTGTTCCCCTTCCCTGTGTGTTCCCCTTCCCTCTGTGTTCCCCTTCCCTCCGTGTTCCCCTTCCCTGTGTGTTCCCCTTCCCTGTGTGTTCCCCCTTCCCTGTGTGTTCCCCTTCTCTCCGTGTTCCCCTTCCCTGTGTGTTCCCCTTCCCTCCGTGTTCCCCTTCCCTGTGTGTTCCCCTTCCCTCCGTGTTCCCCTTCCCTGCGTGTTCCCCTTCCCTGCGTGTTCCCCTTCCCTGCGTGTTCCCCTTCCCTGCGTGGTCCCCTTCCCTCCGTGGTCCCGTTCCCTCCGTGTTCCCCTTCCCTCGCAACTTTCTCCTCCCCTCACTTTCATAATCCTTTTACGCTGCTTTATATATTTACTGAAGATATAACTTCTCGCACGCAGGTAATTAACCTTTTGGTGATCCCCTCGTAATAGACGAGAGGGAGGGAGGGATAGAGAGAGAGAGAGAGAGAGAGGGAGAGGGAGAGAGAGAGAGAGAGAGAGAGAGAGAGAGGAGAAGGAGAGAGAGAGAGAGAGAGAGAGAGAGAGAGAGAGAGAGAGAGAGAGAGAGGAGAGAGCGAGAGAGAGAGAGAGAGAGAGAGAGAGAGAGAGAGAGAGAGAGAGAGGAGAGAGAGGGAGAGATGGGAGAGAGAAGAGAGAGAGGAGAGAGAAGAGAGAGAGAGAGAGAGAGAGAGAGAGAGAGAGAAGGAGAGAGAGAGAGAGAGAGAGAGATAGAGGAGAGAGAGATAGAGAGAGAGAAGAGAGAGAGAGAGAGAGAGAGAGAGAGCAGAGAGAGAGAGAGAGAGGAGAGAGAGGTGAGAGAGAGATAGAGAAGAGAGAGAGAGAGAGAGAGAGAGAGAGAGAGAGAGAGATAGAGAGAGGAGAGAGAGAGAGAGACGAGAGAGAGAGAGAGAGAGAGATAGAGAGAGAGAGAGAGAGAGAGGAGGGTCAGAGAGAGAGTAGAGAGAGAGAGAGAGAGGAGAGAGAGAGAGAGAGAGAGAGAGAGAGAGAGAGAGAGAGAGAGAGAGCGAGAGAGAGAGAGAGAGAGAGATAGAGAGAGGAGAGAGAGAGAGAGAGAGAGAGAGAGGAG